TCGTCGCAAATTGGGACACGGATCCATTCGGGTCGCGTCTATCCCTCGATTCTCCGCCATCTTGCCAACACTTTCTGCGCTCGATAGAGAGAAATACGTATTATTCCTGCTGTTGTGTTATAAATCACGTGACGACAAAGATACCGACAATCTATAACGAGAAAAAAAGAAAAAATATCAACGATACGCGTGTGTACATCTCGCCGGTTGACCTTGCACTTGACGAAACTATCCACGTGGCTATATCCGCGCGATGACGACATCGATGATGTCGGCTGCAGCCACGGACACAGAGAGGCGGACTTTCGTTTTCATTTTCTTTCGAGGTACACAGTCGTCGAGTCCTTGACTGTGCCCACTTCGATAACGCTACTCGCGTAGTAAACCCGCTGCGGCTCTTATCGTGCCTCCTTGCATTCGCGGCTATCGTTTCTCGCTTGTACGAGGTGAGTCACTTCGAATGTTCGCTTTGACTTATGACTTTCGTGCCATCCTCGTCATCCGATGCACACCGGTTTTGCTACTTCCTATTTATATGTATACATATACGTATAAATATTTTCGCTCCGCGAACATGCCAACAACATCTATCCATCGTGTTACAAAAACTGCACAAGTCTCGAACGACACAACATTCACCGGGCCAGAAAACGTACGACCTAACCGCGTATCGAACGCTCTCGTGACAAATCGGTGCATCGGCAGATTCGGCGACCGACACGCATCTGGCCCATCTGTCGACTCGAGAAACTTGTTTCTCAACCGTTGGTCCGACGTGTCCCTTTTTTTTTTTTTTTCAACTTCCTCATGAATCGTCCACGCTTCGGGCTATTAGCGCTAATAACGCCAGCGCTTCGAACGGGATAAACCCGGGATGGCACATTAATTCGGACGATATTCGCGGTCTACCAGAAAACCAAGGAGCGTTACGTCCGTGGCCAATGACGATAATTGTTTGCCAGATTACACGATCTATTAGTAGATAGGCTATTTCTGAACGTTACCACGAATAGCTCTTCTATCAAAGAGGCGGAGGGGAAGAAGAAGCTGTCGATTTTCTGAAAACTCACGAGTTTCTAATTTCATCTTCAAGCTCCTCGCAGCAGAAGAATGACGAATAAGCGTGTTCTTTTCGGAGTATTTTTAAATTTCCCTTTCCGCGATCGGAATATCAACTCGGAATCACACGGAATCAAGGGAACTCTGAAAACGCTGCTTGTATATCTACCGTTATTATTTGCATAAATACCGTTAACAACAAATGGAGGCGGGTCGTTACGATCTTGGAACGTCAGACGAATATTAACATTTAAAAAAGAGGATGTATTCAACAAGAACGCACAATATCGTACATTATTCCTTGCGTTTACGCGGACCGAACTTCGTAATTACTCCCCATCTTTCATTATTCAACGAGAGGGAACACTCGAGAACAACCTCGAACGTGTTAGCAATTTTCCAGATAATTACGACACCGCGTCATTTGTCCGCTGTTTACACAAATCGGTCGACAGACAGCCGAGGGACAATTAGAGAAGCGTAGCGCGTGGATGCTTCGAGAAGGAAATTAGATCGGCGAGCGATTCAAGTGAAACGCGACGAACCACTTCTAATGGCCAACCGTTTAAACTGGGCGGCGGTGGCAATTTATTTGCATCGCACGTGGCCCACCATGGACGACGATCAGGAAGCGTGTGCTCTCTCTCTCTCTCTCTCTCTC